GGTGGGCACCCCCCCCCCCCCCCCCGTGGTCTATGCAACTCGTGATTCCTCCAGCCAGCTTTTGTACGTGGGGGCTGCGACCCCCAACCCCCTCCCCTCAACCCCCCCCCTCCGTTTCTATTAAAGACACATGAAAGGAGACTGGTGGCAGCGTCCATCCAAGGGGAATTAGCCAAGGGTGGGAAGGGCTTCACGTGTCCCATCCGAGGTGGTCCTGGTGCTGCTGTGACTTGGGAGGGTGAGAATCAGCCTGAGAGTGGGGGCTCATGGGGTCAGTGGTGGCTGGATTGTGCCCCAGGGTGGCAAGTGTGTGTCTGGTGGGAGATGCGGGGGGTGGTGGCAGGGCCAGAGTCGTGTTACCATCGGGCTGTGCCCACCAAGGCACACCAAGGGTGTCTGGAGAAACCTGATGCATCCACGAAGATGGAGGTGGGATCATAGGAGGATGGAGGCAGGACTGGAGGAGAGGAAGAGGGTGCTGGAGGGAGACAGCAAGGTGGAATCAGGGTGGAGGAGATGGAGGTGGTGTGTGGAGGAGGTGAGATTGGGGTGGAGGTGGAGGAGATGAAGGTGGAAATGGAGGACGAAGGGGTGGATGAGGTGAGATGGAGGTGGAGACAGAGTCAGAGGTGGAAATTGAGGAAGAGGAGATGGAGGTAGAGATGGAAGAAGATAGAGATGGAGGAAGCAGGATTTGGTTTAGGTGGAAGAGGAGATGAAGGTGGAGGAAATTATCCCTTGCTGGAAGGGTGCTCCAGGCTAAGGTCCTTGCTGTGCCACTGCTGGTGCCAGAGCTGTGATCCTGCTTTGCAGCAGGGGACCAGTGTGGGCTGGGCACTCCTCACCCAGGCAAGCAGCATCACTGTTTACAGCAGGTTCCCCAGGGCATGGACCATGGCATAGTGATCGTGGGGTGATCAGCCACGGGATGTCCCTGGTGATGGGATGTCACCAGCATGCAGTACCACGGTGTGCCACTGTCCCTGGAGCACTGTGCCATGGGGAGGGTGCCAGCTGGGAGGGACAGCTGTGCTTTGTCACCAACTGCCAGAGTTGGGTGGGAGGTTTTGACACCATCCATATGACCTATACTGAACATCTGAGACCTCCTGGCTCCCTGCAACCTACAGAGCACCCAGGTGTCCTTGACACCTTCCTGGAGCAGGTTACAGAGCTGCTGCT